AATAAAGAGACATTATCTAAGTCTTTTATCTTTTGTCTAAAGAAGTACCTATACACGAGCGACACAGATTTGTACCTGTATCCGTACATAAAGGTCACACATGTGTTATCTGGCAATGTATCCTCTCCACACATCTATGGCCTTATTTGGTCCGCGACGTTTAACCTTTTGCATGCCCCGTTTTAATTCATTCGAATTGCGTCACGGTTCAGAATACACGTATGTACTTGAAGTTTTTCTACAATTATCAGAAATATGAGAATTATATAGGACTGACGATTCCTAGAAGGACGAAACAGCTGTATGATGCAGTTTAAGTCATGGTTTAGGGCTACTCTGTCTAAACTATTTCTTTTATGAAATGTTGCTAATCACTTTTGTACTTTTGTACAATTCTGTTGAAAACAAGTTTACAATTCTTTTTCTGACAGATTTTCCAACAACTCTTACCAAAGAGAGTAAAAGTTGCTGTTTTCGCTGGAACGAAAAACAGTAAAAACATACATATCTAAAAACAGATTATACAAAAACAGTTATATGACTTTCGTGGAAAAATCGTCCTTTTAAGTTTCTTTGGCGAAATTTTGACTTCAAAATGAAACAATCTTAGTCGTTATTGCGCGGAAACTAGGAACGAGCGTGTACTAAAACGTAATTATTAACACACTGATCCGCGTTTAGTTGGCATTTATGGTCTTATGAATGTCAATAGGATATGGCTAGCTTCCTTCATGTTTACTTTATTTTTACCCAGTTGGCAATCATAAACCCATGAATGCCAACTGAAAGTAGTTCAATGGTTTTTTTTTCACTTGCAATATTCCTTTGCTGTTGGGAGTTCATGAGATGGTAATTCAGAACTGACCTGGATAAGTGGATAATATTACATCGAAGCATTATCATAGAATGGTAAATTTATACAATGTGAGAAAGGATGTATGCCGATAAATGTCTCACTCCTGGGATATAAATGATCGTAAGCGTTCCCATCACGTGCATTCTGATTCACACACCCCGCTCTCAAACATCACTAAAACACCCTTTGTCACCTGTTGTCTGACAGTAAATATTAGTAGACCTGACCGACTATACATCAACAGTTTAAATCCTACCAAACTAATACTGGATAGTTTTTGGTAATACATACTAGTCATTGATAACATCAGTAAATATATGTACAAATGTAACTTATTGTATTGATAACATTAGTAAATACATGTACAAATGTTTGTATTGATAACATCAGTAAATATATGTACAAATGTTTGTGTTGATAACATCAGTAAATACATGTACAAATGTTTGTATTGATAACATCAGTAAATATATGTACAAATGTTTGTATTGATAACATCAGTAAATACATGTACAAATGTTTGTGTTGATAACATCAGTAAATACATGTACAAATGTTTGTATTGATAACATCAGTAAATACATGTACAAATGTTTGTATTGATAACATCAGTAAATACATGTACAAATGTTTGTGTTGATAACATCAGTAAATATATGTACAAATGTTTGTGTTGATAACATCAGTAAATACATGTACAAATGTTTGTGTTGATAACATCAGTAAATATATGTACAAATGTTTGTGTTGATAACATCAGTAAATACATGTACAAATGTTTGTATTGATAACATCAGTAAATATATGTACAAATGTTTGTATTGATAACATCAGTAAATACCTGTACAAATGTTTGTATTGATAACATCAGTAAATATATGTACAAATGTTTGTATTGATAACATCAGTAAATACATGTACAAATGTTTGTGTTGATAACATCAGTAAATATATGTACAAATGTTTGTGTTGATAACATCAGTAAATACATGTACAAATGTTTGTATCGATAACATCAGTAAATATATGTACAAATGTTTGTATTGATAACATCAGTAAATACCTGTACACATGTTTGTATTGATAACATCAGTAAATATATGTACAAATGTTTGTATTGATAACATCAGTAAATACCTGTACAAATGTTTGTATTGATAACATCAGTAAATATATGTACAAATGTTTGTATTGATAACATCAGTAAATACCTGTACAAATGTTTGTATTGATGACATCAGTAAATACATGTACAAATGTTTGTATTGATAACATCAGTAAATATATGTACAAATGTTTGTATTGATAACATCAGTAAATACCTGTACAAATGTTTGTATTGATGACATCAGTAAATACATGTACAAATGTTTGTATTGATAACATCAGTAAATATATGTACAAATGTTTGTGTATTGATAACATCAGTAAATACCTGTACAAATGTTTGTATTGATAACATCAGTAAATATATGTACAAATGTTTGTATTGAAAACATGAGTAAATACCTGTACAAATGTTTGTATTGATAACATCAGTAAATACATGTACAAATGTAGCTAATTGTATAAGTTGGTACGTACTTTTTATTGCCATTTGCTGTTATTTACCTTGTAAGTAAAATTCCATATCTTACAAAGCTATATGTGGGTACAAAAGTCAGATCATCGTCATGGATTTTGAAAGATAAAAAAAACCGCCATATTGTGTGTCAGATCAGTGTGACATTTCCGCATCAGATATCCTATATATAAATCAGTTTAACTTTCAGGAACAGTTGGTGCATTTATTGTCTACTATTTCATATAATTACATAGGCTCACCTTTCAGGTCAGTGTGCTGACGTCATTCTAAAATAAATGAGAAAGTGTGTTTTGTCCAAAGTTTGTTGTATTCCATGTAACGCGCTAAAGAAGAGATTATATTACAATTTATATCTTGATGGAACTAAAGGTCAAGTATTTGAAGGCCGGATGACTATTGTTGTACAGGTATAATGCCAGTTTTCTATTTTTAGAACTGATGGAAGGAAGTGTGGAAATTTCCTATTTTCTTTCATTTCGTTATTTTTTATAAGAATTAATATAAAATTACAGTGTTAAATTGTACATATGTATTAACGATAAAAACATATGTTCTCGTTTTTTAACAGTCCTCTTACGTACGAGGATTGACAAACATTAGAAGACGCTGACACTTCAGGAAAACGTTATCTTATTCTCCGTGTAAATGTTTCTTCTCCTATTCATTTTTGCCATGGTTTCATATGAATTGAGTCCAGATCATGATTCTGTTGACACGAGTAAAATCCTTAACCAATACTTTCTGTAAATCACTTTTGTTATGTAAGTACGTTTTGAAGGTAGGTGAAGATTTTTATTTATTTATTTATTCGCATTCGGGCATTCCCAATGATCACATGAATTCAGGAACATCTTCCTCGAAATAGAACTGATGTGTAAACATCAACGATTCCTATACGGATCTGCATTTTCATGCTATGATTAATATTGTACCACATGACTATATAATGAACGAGATACTAGATATCAAGAGATCGAGTTTATATACATATATGTATAAACGTTTTTGGTAAAATGTCCTGGCGAGTGGTTTGAAGTCTGTCACTGTCAGCGGATGTTTCATCTTAGCGCCACGACAGTTAAATGTCAAAGCCTCGACACGGCAGGATGACACAACATCCAGTCATGTTATACTGACAAAGATCCTTCCACGAAGTACTGTTTGTATGACTTTTGTATATCACTGTTTAGAGACATAGTCTTACGTTATGGAATTTGAGTGTGAATTATAATTATGTTGATATATTGGTATTTTATTGATGTTTTTGGCGGCGTTTAATCCAAAATGAAATAAAGTATAATGACCGAAAGAGGTGACAACATTTGTGATATTATCATAATCTCATTTCTAAAACGTTTTAGACGTTGACACAACCTCGTTTTTGGACTCAGTTGACTTGTGACTTTGTGACTTTGGATTATGTTGCCTGGCCGAGCCATAACAATTTTTGAAAATAAAAGTTATCGTCGCCTGTTTGTCGTTCAGCACAATGGTGTGGTCTCGACTGGTTCATTGTTGTCTGTACAATGGGACCAGGCTGTGTGTCCTGCTGAAGGCCTTGGCAGTATACTTCAGTATGGTAACACTATGAAGTCCATTACAGTTCTGCAAAATGCAGCCTTTCAAAAATACAGTGGAACCAACTGGCAAACAAACATACACTTTTAATACATGGAGTCACTTCGCAAACACAGGGAGGATGTCTGTAAATGGGCCTGGCTGTTGTTTGAACGTCAAACGATATATAAGCAAACCAGCCAATACAATTCTTCCGTCTTACCTACAGGCAGTGACGTTCACAACAGGGTTTTATGACGTTCACAACAGGAATTTATGACGTTCACGTCACGCAGGGTTTTATGACGTTCACGACAGTGTTTTATGATGTTCACGTCAGTGTTTTATGGTGTTCACGTCAGTGTTTTATGACGTTCACGTCAGTGTTTTATGACGTTCACGTCAGGGTTTTATGGTGTTCACGTCAGGGTTTTATGGTGTTCACGTCATGTTTTATGGTGTTCACGTCAGGGTTTTATGGTGTTCACGTCATGTTTTATGGTGTTCACGTCAGTGTTTTATGGTGTTCACGTCAGGGTTTTATGGTGTTCACGTCAGTGTTTTATGGTGTTCACGTCAGTGTTTTATGGTGTTCACGTCATGTTTTATGGTGTTCACGTCAGGGTTTTATGGTGTTCAGTGTTTTAGACAGTAACTATTATATATGATGGCTGATTACGGTCATCCCATGTCGTCGCCTTGTCGCGATTTGAAAGCGCAACAAGACGACATTTTATGTACTAAATCTAGAGTTGTCGCAGTTAATGAATGCGAAAAGACGACAACACGACAAAACGAGATGTTCGTAATCGGTCGCAATAATCATACTCTTGGTGATCAGTCCAGGTATGACCGATTTTTAGTGGGCTTGTGCGAGAGAATGCATGTTGATACGCCCCAATAAACGTCACGTGACAAACGTGCACTGGCGTGTAATGTTAATAATCATATGCATACTAAATAAACATTTTGTCTCTTTCAGATTAATCGCCTAAAGACGCCTACGTTCCTGCCATGCCTCTTGTAACACTGTAAGTACATAAAGGTGTTTACCATAACGTTACACTATTTTCTACCTTACTGTACAAAGGGTTATAGAATAGCCGAAAAGGCTGGTCATTATCATACCACCTTGTTCACATTAGTGTTAGTCCGCTGCACACTGGTTATCAATCTGACACTCAAATGTTCGAAATGTTCTTGACTAAAGGCTTTTTAATATATATTATGTAAAGGATGCTGTGAATATTATTCAAACTCGAAGAATGTTGAGATATTTGCTTAATAAGAAATTATTATACTGTAATTCTTAACAGACAAGTTTATCGCACCTCAGACAGGGATATCACATCATCCTAGGTTTTCCCGTCTCCCTATCTAGTACCCTTACATGCGTTTTCGCGGAATTTTTTTACGCATCGGTGTATTCATCCGCGTGAAGGTGTAGGTGGTAACTACACACGTGCATTAAAAAGTGCATGTTATATCGTTTCAACGATATAATATTTAGAGTAGATGTTGTAGACAAAGTAAGATCTTCAATGTAAAATGTGTTGTATTTTTCGTAAGTGCGGCCTACATTGTTTACGCGGCATTATCCAATCGTTGTTTAAAAGTAAAGAGGCTATGTGGGTAGTTTGAGGCTCCCGTGGGATACGCCAAACGCTGATGGAATATTGAATATCACTGATGAGTCCTAGAAGGACGAAACAGTTGTATGATGTAGCATCACTGACGAGTCCTAGAAGGACGGAACAGCTGTATGATACAGTTTTATGAATTATTTGGCTCTGCCGCATCGACGAGTCGGTATCGACGCTTGTTCTTCCGGAACACATGGTCTATTAACTTTGTACTTTTCCACGGGTATCAGTGTAAATTATTCTTTTGTTCATATTTTCCCCGTAGTTAGCGAATGTCGGTATTTTTTTTTTTTTTTTTTTTTGTTCAACATTGCAGATTTTAAGTTCACAAATGTTAGAAACGCCATGTTACATGTACCAATCTTTAAAGTTTTTGAAATATTGACGTAGTTTCATGTACAGAAACCGAATTACCATCTCAAGTTACACTAACAATCCGTTACCAAAGAATTGGACATCGTACATAAATATATTGTTGAAATACAGAATTGAATCAGGAAAATTCGTGCACGTGACTTTCCTTCTGGAAAGTTGTTTCAATAGTCACTGCCTCTTTTCTTTCTTTCACAGAATCTACCAGGTGATCAGAACTAATGGTCGGTCAGCTGACGGTAAGCGTTATGTGTATGATGACAACATAATCGACAGACTGAGCCATTATCACACAAACATGCTTCTGATGATGTTCACGGCTTTAGTGGTCACTAAGCATTACGTCGGCTCGCCAATCCAGTGTTTTTGTCCTGCGCATTTCACCGCTGTCGAGGTAAAATACACGAACAGAGTGTGCTGGGTATCGAACACGTACTATATCCCATTTACACGGGAAATCCCTTCAAACTATGAAGTTCGAATGTCAACAGAAATCACATACTATCAGTGGGTGCCGATCATATTGCTGTTAATGGCATTGTTTCTAAAACTGCCACGACTTGTCTGGCGACTAGGTCTGCAGATGTCGGGAATTGCTGTTAAAAACAGTCTCAAACTAACCCACTTGACTCAAGACCTCAGTCCGGAGGATCGCGAAAAACGACTTAAGGATCTGTCGAAATATATCGGTCGCTGGGCAAGCAGTGGTGGATCGCCATATAGATCCGGAATATGTGGTCCTTTCCGAGAACGGCTTGGAAATTACTGTTTCCTTGGCTGTGGCCGCCATTACGGAAACTACTTAGTAAGTCTTGCGATATTGATTCGAACATTGTACTTCATCAATAACGTCGGAATGTTGTTTTTCTTAAACGAATTTCTCGGAAACAAGTTTTATTTGTTTGGGTACGAGGTTATTGCTTCTGTCCTGAAAGGTGAGGAATGGGTCATGTCTCCGAGATTTCCTCTGGTGACTTTGTGTGACCTTGACCTTCGACAGATGACAAATGTTCAAAGATGGACTTTGCAGTGTGTCCTTCCCACAAATTTTTACAACGAACGTTTCTTCGTGTTTCTGTGGTTCTGGTTTACAATGCTTGCTGTGTTAAGTTTCGTTAACCTTCTAGCTCTTTTGTTTTCCACGGTGGTTCCACAAAATAAAGAAAAGTTCATCAAGAAATATCTGTTGTTGAACAACTTAGATCAGTGGGAAAATAAGAGCGCATTTCCAAAATTGATTACAAAGTTCGTTGGCGGGTTTCTGAAACCTGATGGAGTTTATTTATTGAAATTAATAAGCAGTAACTCCCAGTCCACTGGAGTTTCCGATATTATAAAGTATCTTTGGGAAGACTTCCGGGAACAGTCTAATATGACTAGCAAAAATAGAGTGGATTTGATCCGGAAATATGGACGCCCTAATGCGGAATCTTTGGTGCGGCTCGTGAATGGAACCGGAACCATACACAATCGATATAAAGAGTATTTCTTGTGAGCATTTTTTTCCCTGTTAAGACAAAACTGTTTGTGCGCGCATGCGTGGTTGAAGTACAAACATATCATATTCTATAGTCGTGTGAAATATATTATTATACTTGCTTGGCCTGCTTATGTAAAAGAGTTGGTATTACATTCTTGTAACTATTTTTATGTATACAGTCATATGTACTAACCCTCTTAAAGTAGCTAGTGTTGATATAAACTACTAAATATAGACCATATAGGTCTTACGTTTGATTACATACACGAGTCTAATTCAATGGCAGATTTCATCTTTGTTACAGAAAAACATCCAAACATTCCACAGATCATTTTCACTCTTGAAGTGGTACCTACCAAATTAATTCTTTATGTATAATCGACTGGCAGATTTCCTTGGAAATTTCATTTTCTCCCTTCCTGAAGAGGGCATCTGGCTAACGTGTGTCAATTTTAAACTTATGATTCCACAACCTTCCCTCGTCTCTCCTTCCTGTGACTACCACTCTTTATACAAAACGACTTTCTTAGCTCACATCAACAACCTCCTTCAATTTCCTAATCTCTCCTTCAGTTCACTACTTTTTGCAAATCTATATTCCTAACCCACATCACCAACCTCCTTCCCTTTTCTCTTTTCTCTTCATCCGTCACTTGACTGTACAGACAAATCTCCTTAACTCATATCACCAACCTCCTTCCCTTTTCTCTTTTCCCTTCATCTACCACTTGACTGTACAGACAAATCTCCTTAACTCATGTCACCTACCTCCTTCTCTCTTCTCTCCTTCAATCCACTACCGGTACTTTACTTTACACAAATCTATCTTCCTTACCCACATTACCATCCTCCTTTCTCTTTCTCTCCTTCGATCAGCCACCTCACTTTGTTTTTTTCTAGAATCAATACAACTTAGTGTTGACATGTTTTAACAATATTTACATATCAATCGTATACGATTTATAATTCCGTTGTCCTGTGAATGAATTCCAGATATACAGAATCAGGACCGTTGGTCATTCCCAGCTATCGCACAATTTTCATTAATTGTCTCCCTTTGTTTAATTCCGCTTCCAAAGCAAGTTTCTAGACAACTCAAAAGTAGTTTTGAAAAAACCCAAATACCATTTAGCCATTAATCCACTCTGTCTAATCTTGTTTATTCATAAACTACAACCAATATCGTGTTATAGGTGAAATTCTCTGGAAATTTTTTATTACTGTCTTCGTTTTATGAGATAAATAGTTTTTATTTAAGTGATTTGTATATGTGTCCAGCAATGCGATAACAACAGGTCAAGAATGGAAATTCATTGTAGTGTGCATGTTTAGAAATAGAATGCACAATTGTTCATTTCTTTTCTTTATCTTTTTTTATGTTTTTAATGGATGAGGGGGCATATAGCCTTACCCATGTTCTTCCCGTCTCGTCCCCTCCCGTCCCAATCCAATGTAAGCACTTAGCAAATTCATTCAACAGATTTTGGTCAAACTTTATACAGATGTCAATAATGAATATACGTGTACTTTGGCCACTGTTGTGTTTCATGGGTCAAAGGTCAAGGCCAAGGCCAGTAGTGCTTTATAATCTTATAGAACATTGACACTGATTTTGCTAGGCGGCGGTGACATTGATGTCGGACAGAAATTTAAACTGTCTTACTGACAGGCAAATGTTGCTCTCCAAACTTAAACAACTAGGTTGTTCATATTCCTGGATAGTTTCAAAACGTCTTGTATATCAATTATAACTTTTGGCAGATTACAGCGATAGAAAATGCATGGTAGACACTTTTTACAATGAAATGTTTTTAGTTTTTGCACATGGCTCGTTTATATGTGTAAAAAGATACTGTGTCAGGATTTTAGTGTGAAACATCTGTAGTTGTTCCTACATAGTCATAGGGTTGTGTTGTACCGATGTATTGTGATTACGTCACAGTGTTACAAAATGTTGTGTAAAGGTCTGATGGACACGAAATCAGGTCTAAATGTAGGAACACTTTACAATATTGTCTATAGTGTTACACCAGAAAGCGTTTAAATTATTCCATTTAGTGTTTCCATACTTCAAATTATCTTATACACAATTGTTTCTTACCTTCTGTACGATAGTTGAGTAGTTCCGACACCGTTACTATGAAAGATGACGCCTCCATATCTTAATTACAATTTGTATTTTTTAATTACAATCAATAAATCAAATCTAAAAATATCTATTGAAGTTTTTGTTGTTTTTAGATGAATTTAAAATTGTTTATCTGACATGTTGATACCAACATGTACATATAGAAGAGAGGGTTTTGGAATAAAACCGAAGTATATAACATCAAAATAGGATTATCTTAGTATCTCACTAATTTATAGGCTGTAATCAATTATGATATATGGGATAGCAAAAGAAACACGTGTTTTATAAAAGTGTTATTTTCCGAGCAAAGATTTGCGTAAGTATGTATACGCCTACCCAACCCAGTCCTGAAGCCAGCAATGACAACAGCTCATGTTAAGGGGGATAACTCGAATCGATTTCTCGACAATCTTGTATTTGAAGAGAGTATCACAGTGATAAGATTATTTCGTTCATAATTAACGAATCTAATGATCCTAAATCTTGTCCGGAAACTGACAATAGTATTAATTCTATGTATACTCGAAAAATATATATATTGTCAGAAATTATAGAAATAGATTCCAAAACATACTGTTCAGACTGGTTCTTAGAATTTCTCATAGATATGAGCTAAATGTAATTACATCGGTAGATCTCAATTTTATATGGAGTTCACGAAACAGGTATAAGAAATTGAATAGATAAACCTCGCGTGACTAATTATTTAGGCTGTCAAACAGTATGAGGGTCAAACAAATTTACTTTATCATTCTTTCACCGTGCACACCCCCACACCACCCCTAAATTGATAGGGTGTAGTTGGAGGGGTATCATAACTTACGTACATACATAGTACAGCCTGTTCAGCACATGTACTTGATCATGCAGTCTGTTACAGGTCTTTTTTGTGATGAAATAAAATCGTATGAACCCTGGAAAAGTTAAACTCATTACTCACACCCTTGCAAAAATTGCATTCGGTTTTGAAAAAAAAAAAAGTTTTCACTGACAGGGTTAGTTCAGGCGTCTCCTAAAAGTAAATGACGGCTACCTCAACGAACATCAGTAAGGAGTCCTGTTGGACCAGGACACAATCAGGTTCCCTCAGAAACACAAATCGTCATGGACTGGGAGCGTCGAACCACAAACCTGCGAAGACCTGCCATTTAGAAAGTGTTTTTTATAAGTTTCCATCCCCAATCAGTGCTGCTGTCGTAGGCAAATAAATCTGATTTCAATTAGAATAAATAAATTATAATCGCTAATATAATTCCCGAAGTGAGACAGGTGTTCTGAACGCGAATCGTCGACGTTTCCATGACGACAGCACTGACGTCATAATGGTTAAAAGCTGGAGGGCATGTTCTTGTATAGTTACTGGCATCGCCGCGTGCAAATGTGAAGTAGAGTTAGGATAGGGAAATGTATAAAGGGAAGCAACTCTTGTGAATGCATCGTAAACTTTATGCATCACACTAAGCCCATATCCCGTGATAAAACGTGCTATATTGTATTAGTGTATCAGTGTCTCTTTAAGGTATTTACATCGTACAGAAGTTGCCGAAGTATTCGTTTTAATGTCACTCATATTTGATATTATACATAAATAGTTTATGTTATATGATATCAAATACACACAGATCATAATTTATATATGAACTGAAATTCTTACGCTATGTGCACAAAACATACAAATATAAAACCGAAGAAAAGCAAAAGAATTGAGCACAAATCAAATTTAGGATCAGATTCAAGGATGCGTACATCCATTCATCAAACATATGGAACTTCGATCTCCTTTTTCTTCTAAAATCTCATCTGTAACTTGAAACCTTTCCTCTCTCGATCCCCAGCCGCTCCCTGGAGCCAGGAGATTGGTAAATGATCCCAGTCCTTCCCTAGAGCCAAGAGGTAAACGACCTAATTCCCTCCCTTGATCCAAGATCCAGATGAACAACCTCCAGTTCGTTCCTGGAACCACATTTAGGAGGCCGGAAGCGACCCCTAATCCCTCCCTGGAGCTACTGTAAGAGGTCGGTAAACGGCCCATAGTACATTGCTTGTACATTTCAGATTCTAGAAAGACGTGCTAGTCCAGTCCAAATATTCAGATTATTCCAGATATGGCCCATGAACAATTCACGTGATAGGCGAAGTCTACTTTCAACTCTCGTCTGACATCTTATCTTTTTTTTTAATTGTTTTATTTAATGTTGAAATGAGTTATGATTCACACATATTTACATTTTAAATGGTAAACGATCCGGCACTATGTATATACATTTACATTAATTCTACAGTGTTTCCATACATATATGTAATAAATACTTCTTGCCAATTTGTGAAATTAAGTTATATAGCATCAAGTACATATATAGGAATATTTACAAGTTTTATATAAATGTACGTCGTTAAGATAAAACACTGTATAACGACTTCAGGTTTCGTGAAATAATTCCGATTTATAATCAATTTCAGATTTAATGTTTTTATGTATTTTGACAGAAATTTGGCAAATGAAAAATGATACTAATGATGATGTAAACATCCTATAAATACCTATATAAGTCACGTGAGCAGTATTATCATTTTAATGATTTACGTACATCTACTCTGATGATAAAATGTACCTATTAAATTGAAATCAAATAAATGCAGCATTGGAAAAAGATAGTATATTTATTATATATATATACAACGTTTCAAAATCTATACTTCATAACATATATCAAGCAAACTCAATCTATAAGATAAACACTGCATCAGATTAAAAGTATGATTTGTGTGTTTAGGGACGTGTTGAGTCAATATTTCTTAAAGTCGAGTTACCTTCCCGGAATTTCATCTATTCAAAAACGATTAAAACTTCTCAAAGCTTAGCCATGACTTATTTTAATGATACGTTTGGTGAATTACGTTTTGCCAGTGTTACATATAGTACTCGGATATATGGCACTTTACAGTTAGCATTTATAAACATACAGATATGGACAACGCTAAATTGTC